ATACAAATATTTCCTGTCACCAAATAAACAGTCATCGCAATTCGTGACTTGACTCCCACGTCACAATTGACGTTGACAGCCAAAATAACGATGACGTAGACGACGTCGCCTATCTTGTTACCAGCATTAACAGCAACAACAATTTTAGCCTAGAAATCCAATGCAGAATAACACCTGCTATTGTGCTACTGTGATTGTGAGTAGGAAATTAAAATGTAAAGTGCTCTCTTGACAAAAAAAAAAAGAGAAAACTGAGAAATAGGTGCATAGCATTTTAGCTTAGAATAACAGAGAACTTTTCCTCATTATAAAAGTGAGATCCTTGTGCCAAAGCTGCATTGTGACGATAATTTTCTGGTAAGTCAAAAAAATTTCAATCGATTCGGTTGAAACATTTGGAAATGTTATTGTCAAAATCGGCCGAAACCAAATGTTTTCGTTGTATGAAGTACTTAAAAGCAATCGTTACCATATAATGTTAAAACTAAAGGGGCCTGTTAATAACATAGCAAGCAGATATTTCAAAATTAGCGTTAAGTAAGAGTTTAAGCGGTCTCTATAATAGCAATTTCATTTCGGTTAGATAGCATCGTTAAGTTTATTTTCAAACTTTTTTTTTAAATTGAAAAGGTGTTGTTTTGTTATATTCGGGATTGTTTTTATTGCCATTAAATTTTATCTGCCATTTTGCCAACCATTCTCTGGCTACAAGAGGGCATTTGCACCGATTACTTAAAGCAATATCATCCAGTAAAAAATTACATGATTTGTTGCTTTGTATGTGTACAAGTCTAATTAAAATTAAGGAAACTTAATCATTTAGGACTTTAAGACCACTTAAAATACTCTAACAAGTGTGTTTATTAATTTTAAATTGAGGGCAAAATAAACTACTGTCGTACGAAGAATTTTCACGTATTTTATACAAAGTTTGCTTTATTAGATGTACCCCGCAGGAAAAAATACTAGTTGTCAACTAAAATTCAACTAGTCTACATTTTTACAGCAACTAGTTCATTTTCATTCATTTTCCATGTAAGCAACTGGTATTTTTAAAACGGCGATATCCAACTAGCTGCCAATTGCTCTACTATACATCAGCTTCATACTAGTCTAATACTAGTGCGTTTAGACATGTGGATTTTCAACCACATCAAAAAAAAATGAAATAAAATGAAATTCAGTACGCTGGCTGCGAGAATCGAACCGAGACCATCACTGAAGACATCTAATCATCAGACTATCGTTATATTATATGGAAAAACGAGATCTGCGCACTTGAACAGAACTTTTTAAAAAATGAAACTCAGCCGTGTCATACTAAAAACAAAAACAATATCCGAATGACCTGGAGGTAATATTTTCTGTTTCACCAAAAATTAAAAAAAAAATTAATATTAAAAAATTCTGTAAATAAAAATAAAACTTAAAAATTAATTTGCCTCTAGCCGGTCCGATAACGGCGGCTTTACGCGCTGCAGAGATAAGCTCTAACCACTCGGCTATCATGACGATGCAACGGTTAATGTATTGCGAACATAGCCGAGAATGGAATTCAGCCTCTGTCTGCCGATATAACAACAACAAACTGTGGTGAAAATTATTATTTCTCCCGTTGCTGGTACACTTCTTTACAGATATTGAACTGGTATGCTTTCATCTTTAACATACTAGTATTTAACTAGAATTTTTTCATACTAGTTGGTTTTTCCCTGCAGGGTAGTTTCACCATACAAAAATTGGCGAATTCTATCGTTCTGAGAACAGGCGTAACTTTCTCATTTTATTTATTTATGTTTGCAAACTTGCTTATTATATGTACACATACTTATGTACACGCATAATAATTTAGTAAACGCATTAAATTTCATTTAGCGGCTTTTATCACACACACATACTAATGTATAACATATTTGTATATATGTTTATAATGATATTACAAATGATATGCATTGTTAACTTTTTCCATGGCACACATAAATTTTAAAAACAATTTGTATAATGTACTTTAATATATGAGCTCATAATTTCAAACTTTCTAATCAACACACTTGTTTGCTTACCTGTGTGCAAGGTGGTGTACATCACGCATATGATTGTATGTGTAAGTGTGTTTGCATATGAAGCTAACCTTAATGTTTTCATATGTCTGATCGTCAGGCCTTTAGGTGATGAGACCTCAAGTGTGCAAAATATTTTATAACTTACTTCATTGAACATAACAAGTAGAAGAGTGTGTGTGTGCGCGTACTTTGGTGTACTTTTGTGTATGTAAGAACATTACCATAACTTTGAAGCATATCGCAAATAATTGAAGTTATAAAAATCCTCACTCCTGATATTCAATTTCTAAATTTTCTTCACTTTGCATTCGATCTAGTAAAAAGTATTCCGTTATCGTATATCACGTACTTAAAGTGCAATTGGATTACGCTAGATGACTTTAAACAGCTGATATTTTGTGCTAATCAAGCTATGAGATGACTGTTGGTCTCTTAACTAAGTAGTGTTTCAACGCATGTACAATTCGGACACCAGCCAAGCGAAAATATACTACATTTTGCAATTTTTCTTACATAAAGGCGAAAACGCATGTCTGACTGACTGTCTTTGATGTAAAAGATACTCTGCAACGTGGAAGGCCAATTTTCTCTATCGATTTTTCAGTAGTCACATAGCTCACAAGAATCAGTTTGGAACCACTTAAAAAGGCTAGATACACAAAGAAGCTCGTTTTTTGGGGTCATATGAGGTAACGAGAAAAGTTTCCTTTGTACCGAGTAAATGCATAGATAGCTGGTGATGAAAAGTCTAAAGAAAATGGTCGTTCTCAAAGGGTAGTGAGCCGATGCAATTGGTCTTCAGGAAGATTTTTTTTGTTTTTGGCGAGTTTGGCAAGGAATCATCTACGATGAACTGCTTCCCTACAGCCAATATTTTTATTTCGAATCTGTACTAACCGTAATTGAGTCGTGTGATCAAAACAATTATCTAGACACAGCGCTCAAGTAAATTACCCTCTAACAAAATGAATAATCTCATCTGCGAATTTCCCACCCTGAGCTCCAACAGGAATTACACTATCAATTACTTTTGATATTAAGTCCGCCCCCGACCTCACTTAAGAGCCAAACGGTCCAAGAATACATTTATGGGCATTATACCCATATCAACATCTTACCTAACCTAAACCTATACAAAGTAAATAGATTTTTAAGGAAAAAGATCATAACGGTAAAAATACCTAAATAGTCACCACGTTATCCATACCCTTGAAACTAGTCGTATAATACCTCTATAAATACCTAACTTTCATTTATTTAGCTAAATCCACTATTGGTTGGACGATATGTATTAAATTTGTATTATTTCTTTAAACAGTGGCAGGCTTATTACCCAAAATAGTTGATTAACTTGAACTTTATAACCAAATATTTAATTATTCATGTATGTGTATAAATAGCATTTGCTTGTAAGTAATGTTACATGAGTGTGTACGTGTAAAATAATATTGAAACCAATAAGATTGACATCGACATATGTTTATCAATATTCAACTTAGTCAAAGACATAAATATTAATATACACATACATACATACATACATATAAATGTATGAAATTATCATCAATCAAAATTAATCGCTCCTTCAACAGGTTATAAAATAACGCCTAATGTAATATAAAGAGCATACTTACATACATATACTTGCATATATTTATACAGACGCACTGAGCTACTCTCTCCACTCTACGGAATTCCGCTCATCTCTTCTTAATTAATTTAATATCAAAATCAGTTTAACAGCGTGAAAACGCTTCCTGACAGCAATATTTATGGTATTTTTTTTATAACTTGACAGTAAATAATCGAAGATGAAAAAATCTTCAAAATAATATCGGAAATTAATTCAAATATTTTTGTTACCTAAGTCCAATTTAAAGCTTAAAAACTCATTATATTTAAACTGTAGTAAATAGCAGTTGGGGTAGTTGGGGTAGTAGCCGCAAAAATGTAATATCTGAAATTTTCAGAAGCTAATCGGTATTATTTCCTGCAAACATTATTCAATGTGTATAAATATACATTCAGCAATAAACACGTTGAAGATAAAACCATAACGCATACATACTTTTGCGCCAAGAAATTTGGGTGTCGCGTTTTAAAAACAGAAAATTCCTTTGCAAATAATCAGAAATCAGCAAATAAAACCAGTAATAATTGTAATAAGCACTGCCCATTCATCAAAGCTTTTCGTTACATACGAGTATATATTTATATTGAAATTTGTCAACGTTGCAATAAAAATCAAACAATTTCCTTGCTAAATAAAAATCGTTGACAAATACTATTTGTTCTTTTTTTTTTTGGCAATAGAAATTGAAAATCGTTCACTGAAATGTTTAAATATTCCCCTCGATCGTTACATCTATATTTAGAAATGCACAACAGTACTTTTTTAATTTATCCAATGAAAATTGGCAACCTTTAACGCCAAAAACTGAAAGAGGCAAAATAATTGAATACTTACACATAAAAGTTTGAAGCCAATAAATTAAGTGATTTTGCGAGAAAACAAAATGGGCTATTTCGCCTTTTTATAAGCACAAATTGCAAGAAAGTCGTTAGAGAAAATTGGCAACGAGGCGGCGATAGAAATATGAAATGCCTTTCCATACAATAAAGCGAATATTTCTCTGCATCATACTTACTTACGAGAATCAAATCCGAGATAATAGTGACGGCAACTGAAAACATGGAAAATGTAGATCCAAAATCTTGATCCACAGAGTTAAACAAAAAAAAAACCTATGGAAAGCGTGTACCGTGTACTTTATTAGAATTCGTAGAACAAATGTGAAAAATTAACTAAAATAAAAGCGAAATCTCTAAACATACTTTAAAATTCCAGAATTACGTTCAAAAAAAGACATAGTAATTTTTTTTTATTTTTTCTGTTCTATTAATTTGTAACATTTATTTCTAAAAAACTGTAACTATAAATTGGACAAATTGTTTTTAAATATAAAAAATTCGAAAAAATTACAATCGTATAAACCACAGAGAATGTTACGCATTATATAAAATCGTACAACGATTGATATTAATTTTTTTCATTTGAAATAAAATATTTCGAATACTCTTTCGCTTCTTTCATAGAATCAAGTGCTGCATCGCGGCTGCAATAAACTAGCTGACATACATATTATTTCCTACAACGAAATGTCTCTCAGTAAATGCTTTAAGTTCAACGATCGGCCACATTCTACACGCTGTACAAAGCATATAGGTACGCACGAGGAAATGTCAGGCTTTAATTTTTACGGTGCCCACGCCGCCTGTCGTCAAAACGTTTTCCTTTAGTTCCGAAATGAAATCAACAGTTTATTGTCATTATTGGCCGACAAGCTTGTCCAATATTCGAGTCGGCGCAGCACATTAGATCCCATAATAGCTTACAAAATTGCTCTTAGGAGCTTAATTTAGCAGCGCTGACTCGTAGGGCGCATACGCTCACGTGCTAGTATCCATTTCCAGGTTACAACGCAATATGGATGTCATGTAACTCTGTCATCGCGTAAGATACCTAAGCTATCCTAAAAGGCAAACCAGAAAAATGGAGGAGAATTAGCCTACTTAGCACAATGTAAGTGCTTCATTCAATTGCTTTTTCAGCACTTCACTTACTTTCACCCTTCGGCTTGAATATGAAACCCGGTCCGCCGCTTACGCCTATCATATTACTACATACCGAACTGGTATTCGGCTCCTCTGAAGTGGGTGTCGATTGCAATAATGTGTCCATATTATCCTCACATTCAGCTACATCTGCGTATAATGGTCTGAAATTGTTACGCCGCCATTGTGGTATACTCTGTGTGCTGGTTCCAGCGCCACTGCATGCATTGTTACTCAATTCCTCACTGCTTCTGCTACTGCATTCATGCAAGCGTACATTTCTATTAGCGAAGGTTATAACATTGTAAGCAGCACCGTTACTTCCACTATTCCTATGGCCGTTGTTGTTGTTGCTACCATAGCCGTTGCCGCTGTGCCTCACATTGGAATAACGATATGTGTAGTAAATATTTGCAGTACCTTGACCGCCAGTTGCCGCTTCACCGTACAAATTGTTGTTGCGTATACGCATTGAGGAATTGGCGAAATTAGAGCGTAACGACGTGGCTCGGGTATGCATGGAGAGCGTACGCTCGTGCATATCACCTTTAACGCGGAATTTGTAGAAGCAATGATGGAAACGTTTATTAAACTCGCGTTTGAATTTCTCCTGCAATTGTAAAAGGCAAACATTTTTAATTGAATTACAAGTGAGAGATATTCTTACTCAAAGGAAAGGAAAATAAAAATAATAGAAGAGTGTAAGAAATTAACTCACTCTTTAGTCAACAAGGAGTGCAAGTATCGTTTAGCTCTCACCACTTGCTTAGTGAAACAGTTTATTGCAGTACTGAGAAAATTCTTCTATTATTCTAATAAACATTTAACAGCACGGTACTTGAGCACATGAAAGTTTAATGAAAAAATGATTAGAATCTTATTGCTCGTCAGGAAATAACTCAACACTAAAACAATTAAAGCAAAATGTTGATTTCATAGTACCAGGGTACCTGCATATAACTTCGAACTAGTCTCAAAGGTGAGAAACTAATTGAATAACTGAACATCGACTCATCTCCGGCAAGATTATAAAACGATACTTTCTTTCTGCCTATTCTAAACTTCACATTAAACATGAAATTATGACGAATTAATCTTGAACTATGCTCAAAGGAAGTTAAAATGTACTTAATGAGTTAAGTCCGAAATTGATGATGAATTAACTAGAAAATATATTATTATTATTTATTATTCGACCAACTCGGCACTTGCATGTTTTTTTTTTTTTTTTGTTTCGTTTGTATATTTTCTTTTCTATATGCTCTGTTGAAGTGAGCGGTTTGTCCTTGCTTTTAATATCTTCAATATTGCTAAGAGATTGAGAGGAAAAATTCAATGATCAGCATTCTGGAACGAACTAGTATTTAACTGGTATAAAGCTGATGCAAAGACGAAAAATTGGCACTTCGCACTACAACGCCGTGTTAAAAGTTTCTGTCGCTAATTCTTAAAATAATAAACGAAAGATAAACTAGATAATGTAATGCATACTTGTAACTTACTAGCTAACTACCAGAAATTTATTGAAAGTATTTGGTGAAGGTACGATTTCTGATAGGACATGCAGAAGATGGTACGAAAAATTTTAAAAAGCTGATTTCAACTTTTTTGATAAGTCACGCTGTATGAGGGTAACGAGGTAGATCAATTGATTATGTGTGCAAAAGATATTCACTAAATCTTTCAAAAAATTACTATCTATATATATCAAGGCACTAACTAACTGGGTGTACCGTAAATTACCATCGCTGCTGTTTTAGTATAATGAACGATCATACAATGCCTCAATGTCGCTTCGCCATCTACGTTTCTAAATGCACGTCATAAATTCAATATTTAAATATTCGAAGTCATCAACAAGCCAAGTATGTAGTTCTCCACATGTGCAGCCTTGCCACAAAAGCTTGTAATTAAATGTGCTTTACATTCAACGTACAATGAAGCATTTCCAATTGACTAACTACATGAAAAAGCCTTTTTAGCGAACAGAACCAAAAGAAGCCATACTGGAAGAGCACTTTTCTGCTTGATAATGGAATTAACTACACTGTATTACGTAGGCAATCTCCTAAACTAAGCTGTTAACAGAATATTCAAATCTAGAAATAAATCTCCTACTCTATAAGCTATTTGAGAAGTAGTTAGTACTAAGCGTTAGCTCCTCATCCTAAAAGTATGCAGGAAATGGCGATCAAAGCGGCAAAGGTACACCTCCGTTTTTACCAGGAGGAGAAAGCTCGCTTTATTTGGGATTTTCTGCTTCGTTTAGCAAAGCAAGGTATTTACCTCCGACCGTAAAGGTAATAGTTTCGTAACTGCAGCTAAGTTCGCTGTGCTTTACATCACTTTCGTATTTTGCTACGTTTCACTTTAAAAGTGCAGTGGGCAGTTGCACAAAGCAAAATAAATTGAAATCTTCCTTTCGCAGTGTAATCTGCAATACAAAATAGTAAACAAGTATGTGTTCTGACATGGCGCGTAGCTTTAAAGCTGTCGCGTTGATATTGATGGACAGCAAATGAGCCACTGGCGTGCTCGACTCATGCTGAGGGATGCTGTTAAAGTGCTTCTTTTCATAACGGACATAATAGAGCTTAACGCTTGTATGCATTTTGCACTTATTTTCCACATGTCAACCAATCTGGTGATAAAGAACGCTTTCCTCTGATAGTGTTAAGAATTCATTGAAATATGTATGTGTATGAATACAGGAAAAAGAAAGACAGTTCAAAAAAATATCAAAATTAAATTTTTAATTTTTTGGCTTTTAAATTACATTTTATCAATTTGAAGGAGGAAGTGACCACTACACAGAAATATTCATCGAATTCTGCTCTTTAAATATACTTAGCAGTTATTCATAATATTAAACATGTTAAGAATTGAAAAAGGTGAAGGCTGAAAATTTAAAATACTAGTATCGCTGTGTAATCGGCTGCTTCAACAAGAAAAAAAAATATCTGTGAAGATGACATCCGTCTGCGGTGCTCAGTGAAGGTCACGACCGAAGAAAATGTTCAGAAAGTAGAAAAATTAGTACTGGCTGATCGAAGAACTCTATTGTGGCAGACAGATTTTACATGAACATTTGAATATGCTCAGCCCGTAGAACAAGCGAGTTGTAAAGACTTTTTTGTAATTGTGCCAAGATGATTTGGTGTCGATGAAGTGGGTAAAAAAGAAGAAAGACCACTAAAAAATTTAAAGGAGCTTCAATTTTCTGTGATAGAAATGGAATATTATTAATTGATTACTTGCCAAAGGGAACGCTAATATATTGATGCTAATTTATTGAGGTTAGCGCCTTATAGTCCGGACCTGGTTCCTTATTTTCTAATTTAAAAAAGAGTTACGTAGACGAAAACTTTCAGACGACATTAAGATGAAAGCAGCGGTAGAAATCCAGTTTGAAGAAAAATGTAAAGACTACTTGATATTTGTGTATTTCAATTGAGAGAAACTACATTGAAAAATAAAACTATATATTATTTCATTAAAAACTTTAGTCCACGAACTTATCAGCCGTCCCTCGTATGTTCCATGAGTGTTTGATTTGGTAAAGTTGCAAACGATTCTTTATGGAATGTGTGTTCTTTTCCGCCTAAATTGCTTGAATTCAAAGCGTTGAGCACCAACAATATTATTGTCAAAGTATTGAGCGAACTTCAACATGCAAGCGTTTCCCGGAAAGCGCGTGAAGGCCATTTCGCTTACAGCCACGTGCACTTAATGGCATGCGCAATCGGCTTCTGCATGTACTTCTAAAGTTATTCATATACAAAGCGCACACAAATTGTGTTCGTTGTTTTCCTTTGTAAAGTACGCGAGTGGAGAGAAAACGTGTGGTCTATACGGCTGCCTTGGGCTGACATCACGGAAAGATGAGTGTGCATCATGAGCAGTAACGCTAATTTGACGTCGCTAGTTAATCTCCAGTCAAAGTGCGATAATTGGGCAGTAGTGCTTAGAAGCAGATCTGAATAGCAATAGTAATGGGAGATATCAAACTGAGACACTTGTATGAAGTGAAATTCGTGCTAATTCGTGAATTAAGTGCTAAATAAATAAATATACTATAAAGTGTAGAAATTTACCAAAGTAGTTAAGAAAGTAATAAAAATTTAAAATATCGAAAAAATTATCTAATAAAAAATTTAAATTTTTCATCGGCCCATTTTTCATGTTTAAGCAGTTCGAGATATTTTTAGTTAATGCATTAATTATGGCTTCATAATATTCTCATCATTTTTCATGCCACTTTCGAAAGGAAAAATATAAGTTAATACTTTTTACACTGCATCTCTGTATAATCCCTCAGATAATAAATTACTATTATATGCAACTTTGCGTGCTTAAAAATACTATACTCACATTGTAAATGCCATAAATGAAGGGATTATAGCAACTATTACTCATCGCCAGCCAATCGCAACAAAACCAAATAATACTGATGAAATGATATTCATTTATTTCTGGGAATGTCACATAGAGAATATTATATAGTTGTAATGGCAACCAGCAGATGCCAAATACAATCACAACTACGATCAGCATTTTTATGACCTGAGGGGGAAACAGAAAAGAGACAAAAATATTAATTAGAAATGTTATTTACACAGTTAAATTTAAATACGCAGAAATATATCATATATATATATATCACATATTTCATTTCTTTGTCTTTGAATATATTTTATGCTATTTTTTTCATTATATTTTATCTCATTTTATTTTACTTTCTTTAACTTTTTTCAATTTATTTAATTTTTATTAATTTATTGTATCTTCATTTCTTTTATTTTATTTCATTTTATTTTATATTATTTGAATTAATATCTTTCCAACTTAATTTATTTTACTTTAATTCAATTTATTTTATTTTATTTATTTTAACTTACCTTATTTTAGTATAATTTATTATTTTTATTTTATTTTCATTACTTTTTTAATTTAATTTTTTTAATTCAATTTATTTTAATTTGTTATTTATTTTACTTCATTTATATAAACTTTTTATATATTTTTATTTTACTTTATTTTGCTTTAGCTTAGTTTATTTTATTTTGTTTTAAATTAATTTGTTTTAATTTAATTTAAGTTGTTTTATTTTATTTTATCTTTATCTTTTGTTCCATTTCACTTAATTTTATTTTATTCAATTAATTTTTTTTATTTTGTTTTATTTTATTTTATTTTAATTTAAACTGTTATATTTTATTTAATCTTTATTTTTTGTTTCATTTCACTTAATTTTATTTAAATATTTTTTTTCTTATTTTATTTTATTTTATTTTATTTTATTTTATTTTATTTTATTTTATTTTATTTTATTTTATTTTATTTTATTTTATTTTATTTTATTTTATTTTATTTTATTTTATTTTATTTTATTTTATGTTTTTTTATTTTCTTTTATTTTCATTTATTTCATTTTGCTTTATATATTTAAAAAAAAAAAACATTTTTTTAAATTTTTATTATTTATATAATTTGTTTTTGTTTCATTGCCAGTATAAAATAATTGGCAGAACACGAAAAAATGATAACACTTGTCAATACATATATGTACATATATAATATATGCTTTTAGAAAAAAATTCTTCTAATAGCCTAATTAGACATGAAGTTGCCTAAGGAGCTTGCTATTAAACATGTAAATATTTGCACTCGTGTATATTATCGCTTAATTAGTGGCTGAAATTGCTCATTTGCAAGAAGGAGCAGATAAAAATTCTTCATTCTATAAACTAATTCAACACACAGAAAAATACGATATTATTGTCGACAACAATAATAGCGCGTTGTCCTTTTAATTACCATTATTTTATGTACTCTTCGTATTTACTTACTTTCTTCTTATTTCGCATCAACGCCATATCTCGCGCATCCTCCGCATTGCCCGGTGTTTGCGTCAGCCACAGTTTAACGGCCATTCGCACGTAAACGAAGGAGATCACACAGCATGGAACGCAATATTGTACAACTACCAATGCATAACGGTACGCCTTCAGTTGTTCTTCCGTGAGATTAATATTCGTACAGAAAGGCCGTGTAGCATTAAGTAGGACACCATTTTCTTTGGAATCAAATTGTTTTGTGAATATTTGTCAGGAAAAAAGGTAAGAGGGAAAGCCAAAAAACAATGAGAAAACACGATTAGTTTAAAAGAATTAAGTTTATAGCTAAGTTTCTACTCGCTTTAAATGAAAAATGGGATTTAAATACTAATACAATCATTTGCATATATATATATACAACTCACCCCTGTAACGCTCGTGCACCTCCTCAACGCGAAAAGCAATGGCAATAGGGCAGGCGAATATGATAGCGAGTAACCAAATTCCCAATAATATGAACTTGGAAATATATTTCGAAGGACGTGCTCTAAAATAGAAATGGTGAAATATAATAATAGCAGAAAACTTTTTATGCAAATAAGTATTTGCGGTGTATAAACTTATTAGGAAAATTGTTTCTAGTTTATGCTCGTTATGAATTTACGCTTTCGGATGTGTGAAAGAGAAAGTTAAATTGGTTTTTTCAACAATGCGGTTAATAAATATGCCGTTGTGTATAATAATGTACATTTGGTGAAACAAAATTTAATATACCGAGATTATAGCATTAACTTACCTCAGGGGATTGATGATTGCTCTGTGGCGATCTATTGCAATGGCTGTCAATGTAAACACAGACACATTTACGCTCAAAGTTTGCACGAAAGGACAAAAAGCGCACATAAAATCAGGTAGATTCCAACGTTGTAAGATAGCGGCTTGGAACTGGAAACAGAGTAGATTTTTTTAACTTAAAGATGGATTGATATATATATATATATATGTATTTTAATCTGTATTTAAATAACACACCGAACATTTTAAGAAGATATTTCATTCAAAAATTAAAGAAAATATATATCTCTATACTCAAGTCATGGAAAGATGAAAACATTCTTCTTCAGCGAAAACTATTCTTTATAACTTTCTTTTGAAGACACGACCATTGCAAACTTATTATGGATCACGATTTGAGGGCATGCACCTGGAATTGTGAAAGGGCCGCTGCCCACCTAGTTGATATCCTCGTTAAAACAAATGCTAACATCACCGTCGTCCAAGAGCGACGACCGATTGAGGAAAGGTGGAAATTAATTGGGGTCCTTGAAACATTTACTACAGCGTTCATATGAAGAAGCACAAATTTTGTGTCGAATCGACACCAAGTACTGGCCTTTATCCAGGTGGAGGAACAGCCCGCCACAATCCGGATCAAAGTGAACGCTGTGACCGTGAAGCCTTTCATGAGAGCCTGAAACGCATTCATGGTGCTTAATTTATGGCTGAAGAAAATAATAAGAGCGGCAGAGCAGAATAAAGAAGGTAAAACCTTTTATAACAGTGTACAGCATGGCATGGCATGCGCCGTTGGTATTGATATTATTGGACTCAACGATCGCGCCGTGAATACTGCTATCTTCAGACCAAATAGGGAGGCATAACATACATACAGATTTGATGGTAAACTGGCAAACGAGACCAAGAGAAAATACCTCCTGTCATCAAACAAACAGTCACCACATTCGCAACTTGACACCCCTGACAGTTATATGGCGTCACCGTTGACAGTTATAACATTGAAATCGTAGATAAATTCGTTTATATTTGAACCAGTCTTAACACCACAAAAATGTCAACCTGAAAATCCAGCACAGAATCACTCTTGAAAATAGGTGCCACTTTGAACTGAGTAGGCAATTGAAAAGTAAAGTCCTCTCCCGATGAACAAGAACCAATCGCTCATAGTTCCCGACCTGTTCCATGCTGCCGAGAAATGTATTATGAAAATATCTGAGGAGTAGGTGTAATTAGCTTCGACAAAATTGCTCTGCGGAAGTTTAATACCGCAGCCGATGGAATGATAAGCTGTAGGAGATATACGGCGGTCTTAACATAACTCGGTGAATCAGGAGGCAGTGGATACGTTGGCTAAATCAAGTGCATCGAATGAATGGCGAGCTGTTGTTAACTTCGCCAATAATCATATAAGCGGTGTCTATGCGAGTAAAGGTGAAGTGTGAAGTGCTAGCAAGCTGATTCCAAGTTGGTCTTGTGCATACCTTAAAGCATTAGCAAATAATGACCAAAAAATCATGAGAGCTTAGCTCACTATATTTTCCAAAATCTGACATAAAATGCAAGTTTATATACATAATTTCATAACCGAATTCAAATTAAGCTGCTATTATGACAGTGCTACAAACCATATAAGCAATTTTACAAGCCTTTATCGAAATCCCAATAGCTGGTGTTTACGCTGGCACGGCACAGTACGGATGTGTAAATAATCTCTCTTTCACACGCCCTGTAATGGCAATCCCTCGCTACTACACTTATGCCTGTAGCACAGACTTTTATTAGTATTTGTATACTTAATAAACAAATAGTATATTTCTATGGCATTGCGCAATGTAGGCCTACACACAACCAGTGTAACTCCAAGTTACATAGCATTGTATTTGCTTTAAGTTCCGAAGACATTCCTCCAGTATATTTACGTATGAAGTTTCCTATGACTTACCTTAGGCTTTTCTCAGATATTATATTATATTCCCCCATTTGCACACTCACCTGAAAGGGTATACAAAAGACACCGATGATGACATCAGACACAGCCAAATTCGCTATATACGTATTGGTGACAGTGCGCATTTGTCTAGATCGCGCCACAATCCAAATTACTAAAGCATTGCCAAAAACTGCGAAAAAGCTGACTGTACCATAAAATATAGAAAGTATGACGACTATTTGCCAAGGAGCAGCGTACAAACGTTCTGAAAAGTAATAAGGGAAGATAAAAAGCCAGTTTTTTGGGAATAAATGGAGTATATACAAACATATACATATTTATATAAGCAATTAGCATATGTATGTATGGATTTTCTTATTTATGTTAAATTTCACTTACCGAACTCTTGCTCTTCGAGCAACTCATTTGCTGGTACCTGCACTACAGGAAACTCATCCATACTGAGCCCTTTACTCTAAGCTAGAAAACACGCTGGTTAAATGTATGACTATTTATTTGACACAAGTTTTCACACTTCTTTTTTTTCAATATTTGTAGTTATTTATGCTTCAGTCCATATTTTCCGCATGCATCTGTAGAGCAAAAGGAGAAAATTCAGAACTTGGCTTGCAGTATATAAAATATAGAATATAGAATACGGAATATAGAATATAGAATATAGAATATAGAATATAGAATATAGAATATAGAATATAGAATATAGAATATAGAATATAGAATATAGAATATAGAATATTGAATATAAAACATAGAGCACAGAAGCAGAAGATATGAGGAAAGGTAGAAATATATAAAATAGAGCTGATGTATTATAACCCTTTAGATGTCATATTTCTTTTTCGTCGTGTTTAAATATTAGCAAAGCTTTATAACAATTGGTCTTCATTAAATGTGTAGCTATTTAAGTATAACCTTTTGGTTTTCATGCTCATTAAATAACTAAATATCAACTATTTACTTATGTAATGCTTAGCCTAGACCTAGGCTTGATGAGGGAAAAATTCCAAGACTGTTCACTATTTCTCAATTTCAATTTTTTCCCACAGGGTCCACACCCATATTTTTTTTTTTTTTTTGTATATGAGAATCGCCACAATAAAAACGTTAAGTATTTTGTGGAAATATGTAGCTTAATTTATTTACTTTCTAAGAATATGTCATAAGTTTGTTAGCACTATTTCCCCTCCCAGTCGCTTAAACAATAATAAATTTTAAATAGTTGCGCATACGCCACGCATACCAAAGAGTTGCTTTATAAATTTCTTGCTGGCTGTTATTGTTGCACATTCTTTTGTAAATATTTATATATGAATTTTTCCAAATTGAAAATGTACACATGCATGCATACCAATTATAGTTTTTTATTTTTTTTTCGTGTACGCAAAGAAACGTATTTCAATTCTGTAAAAAGGACTTTTGCAATTTGTGAATAAATTTTTTTGTCGCTAGCAGAGAAATATTAATGAGTTTTCTGTTCATCATCACTGTGAATCAGAAACATAAGCCATATCTCAGTCGTATGAAAAATTTACAATTTTACATAAATGTGGTTATGAAAAAAACTATTTTTCAGAAGCGTTATCACCTCACCAATTTTTTTATAATATAAACTATGAGATGCAAGAGCTACCACCTAAAGACAAAAAAATATTTTTTGTTAATAATGCAATATATGTAGATGTTAATCCGAAGTAAATTAAGATTAATTTGTAGGTCATAACCTCAAAATAACAAAAAGTCGAAACGAAAAAAATGTCAAGCAGAAAGCCCTTTCGTACCGAATTTTAAGTAAATCGAAAAATAAACACAAGTCCCGGTTCGACAACGTTTACACTTTCCCAAGAAATATGGAACTAAGCTCAGAAAATTTTATTTTTACCAACGAATATAGAACCCCAAGAGCTTCATTATCAAACAAATTAGAAGAAACCTGTAAGAGAGTCTAAAAAAATTTACTTTAAGAGGTAGGTATTTTCTAACCCTTCCTACCTCGATAGCGTACTGCCATTCGGAGCACCAGGGTTCGAGTCTTGGTAGGACTAAAATTTAATACCTCGTTAAAACTATTTATTATTGACACTATAAAGCTATAAGCCGCTTGATGAAAAAAGAAATATATATTTCTAAAATATATAATACTCTAGACTACAGTTTTCTTTATTAAATAATTAATAGTTACTACAACTGGCTGACATTAACCACAGTAGTCAATCAATTAATAGCACACGTACAAAGATCTAATTAAGACAACAAAAATAATGGAAAAAATCAAACAGAAGACTTAGCACTTGTATGCACTTCTGGCATCATTCAAATAATGGTTACCATTAAAATGCATGCCTTTGTAATCATTCACAAATTCTCACACACACACACAAACTCAAACTGATTGCTGTTATGCCTTGGAGATAAATCTAAATAATCCTTGCACAAATCAAATTGATGAAACAGCAAAAAGTGTTTTTTTTTTTCTTAATAAGGCAATTTGTCTTTTGTTCGGTTCAACAAAGCGTGCTAGTAGACTAATTCACATACGAGTACTCTGTATTTGAAGTGCATTTAATTATCCAAATGAAGCATAGGTGAATTGAGAAAGGTATAAGACATGTTGAAGTAAATTGAGTACTTGTCTAGATTTTTTTTTAACTAATTCACTAAGGGCATGTGTGTATAACAAAAGTTGCCAGATTTCATATAAATATTTTTTATTTATTATTATACTGTTTTTTTAATAAATATAATTTTTTTATTTATATATATATTAATTTTTTTGATTTGAATATTTTTCAGATTTTTTTTTAATAATTCAATAAGAGGATGTGTATATAATAAAAACTACCAGATTCTCGTTTATTAGCATACAGATATTTTTAATTTATTTTTATTTTGTTTTATTTTTTTGAAACATATATTTTTTTATTTAAAATTTTTTTTTTTTATTTTGAATATATTTACGGATTTCTTTTTTTTTTTGGAAAAAAATTCACTGAGAGCATGTGTGTTAACAAAAACTGTCAGATTTCCTTATTTAGCAAATAAATATTTTAAATTTATTTTTTTTTAATATACTTAATTTATTATGTATATATATTTTTTTTAATAAATATAGCAATTCCCAATTGAATCTATTTTGTGTCAAGAAAAAATTACTTAAAATATTTTTTGGTAAATAATAAATAAAGTTTGCTATTTAGGAAGCATCCAATTCATATACACGATCATCATGAACTTCATTTTCTCATCTGATTTTATTTTTTGCTCTTCTTTTTAGCACACCATCTTTGCAATATTCAACTTTATCTACAATTCAATTGAATCTGAAATCTTCTCAACAGATGGGAACACCACTTAAGAATAATCTCACAATCAAAGGTTAGCTATCATAAGAAATAAAACTACATAGAGTTGAATGAAATATGAATGAAAAGCAATGGAAAAATTCTCGCTCTAATAAAACGTTGCTTTCGAAGAATTGTGGTTTAATAGCCGCTCACGTAGCTCTGGCAGCTCTTGTCATATTAATTCTATTTTCAGTGTCATGCAGCACACTGTATTATGTTTTCCTGGAGCATTCAGTGTCTGTTTATTTGGAAGCAATTAAATCTTTTCACTCTCGGATTTCTCTACAACCACACACCCCTTTACATACCAGTAACCGCTATACGATTTAATTATACCCGTCAGTGGTGCATTCTCACTTGCTGGAGGCATTGCGTATTCTTACATTTTAATAATATATTATATAAAATAACAGAGAAAGTATGCAAATATACAAATGTATTTTTAAATGACATGACTGCATTTTCATTTTAAATATATTTGTATGTACTTTCATTTCTACAAGCAAATTTACAACTACAAGTATGCAAACAATAAAGTGCAAATTCTCGTTTAACATAACCTTACTCTCTGGCTTCTTATTTAATTTGGGTATTTTGCCCAGCACAAGCAAACATAGAAATTTGTTTATATTTTTCCAAAAGTACATGTCTGCATGTAAATCTGTATAATTATTCTTACGAAAAAAGTTTGCCTAAGGTCAATGTTTTCAAATTAAATGCATATAAAAGTCGTCAAAAGTGTTGCCATTGTTACTGTTCACAACAAAAGTGTTTGTAATAGTGCTTATTATATATAACAATTTTATTGTTCTAAGAATAAAGAGCTGTATCTGGATATTTATCAACCGAAAGTTATCAAATCAAACATGCTTTGTTTAAGTTGAAAGTGAGGCATTTATGAAAATAGTTCGCTCAAAAGTTTCACAACACTTTCAAAACGTTAAAACAAACTACGAAAAAATGGCAAATAAATTGGCTCAAATAATGGCAAAAAATTGGCACATAAAAGAAGATTTGTGAATAATCTCTATTTATATATAAGGTTGTCAAATATCTCCCTTCCGCTTTTTTGTCTTTTGAAGCGCTACATATCAACACTAAACATAATTTTAAAGGTCTTGACATAACCTACAAAACAACGCTATGCATGATTAGTTTGAATATTGCGTTCAACAGTTATAGACGTGTAAACATGGAGTTCACTAACGCCGAAATTCGCGCTATTTTAAAGTTTTCCTTCGTTATAGGCAAATCCGCTAGAGAAACGTTCCGTGAGATTAATGGTGTTTTGGGGGATGGTACTTTATCACTTTGAACCGAGGAAGAATGGTTTCGACGATTCAAAGCCGGTGAAAACGACACCATGGATAAGCCAGCCGGCGGAAGACCTGTGACGACAAATACCGATCAAATCATGGAATACATCGAGTTAGACCGGCATATGGCATCTCGTGACATCGCCCAGGAGATGGGAGTTAGTCACCAAACCATTTTAAACCATCTGCAGAAGGCTGGATACAAAAAAAAGTTTGATGTTTGGGTGCCGCATAATTTGACGCAAAAAAACCTTCTGGACCGAATCAACGCCTGCGCGATATGCTGCTGAAGCGGAACGAACTCGACCCATTCGTCGTCATGGCAACGAAAAATGGGTCGCATACGACAATATCAAGCGAAAACGGTCGTGGTCGAAGGCCGGTGAATCGTCCCAAACAGTGGCCAAGCCGGGATTGACGTCCAGGAAGGTTTTGCTGTGTGTTTGGTGGGATTGGAAGGGAATCATCCACTCTGAGCTGCTCCCATATGGCCAGACGCTTAATTCTACCATCTACTGCGAACAACTGGACCGCTTGAAGCAGGCGATCGACCAGAAGCGTCCAGAATTGGCCAACAGGAAGGGTGTAATGTTCCACCAGGACAACGTCAGACCATACACTTCGTTGATGACTCGTCAGAAGCTACGGGAGCTCGGATGGGAGGTTTTATCGCATCCACCATATAGCCCGAACGTAGCGCCAAGTGATTACCACCTGTTCCTGTCCATGGCGAATGCCCTTGGTGGTGTAAAGTTGAACTCAAAAGAGGCTTGTGAAAAGTGGCTGTCCGAATGCTTCGCAAATAAGGAGGGGGGCTTCTACGAGGAAGGTATTATGAAGTTGCCGTCTAGATGGAAATAGATCATCGAACAAAACGGCGCACATTTTAACTAAATCCGATCACTGTAACACTTT